TCTCTGTAGCTCAGTTGGTTAGAGTTCGACAACTGTCTCTCTGTAGCTCAGTTGGTTAGAGCTCGACAACTGTCTCTCTGTAGCTCAGTTGGTTAGAGCTCGACAACTGTCTCTCTGTAGCTCAGTTGGTTAGAGCTCGACAACTGTCTCTCTGTAGCTCAGTTGGTTAGAGTTCGACAACTGTCTCTCTGTAGCTCAGTTGGTTAGAGCTCGACAACTGTCTTCTGTAGCTCAGTTGGTTAGAGCTCGACAACTGTCTCTCTGTAGCTCAGTTGGTTAGAGCTCGACAACTGTCTCTCTGTAGCTCAGTTGGTTAGAGCTCGACAACTGCCCTCTGTAGCTCAGTTGGTTAGAGCTTGACAACTGTCTCTCTGTAGCTCAGTTGGTTAGAGCTCGACAACTGTCTCTCTGTAGCTCAGTTGGTTAGAGCTCGACAACTGTCTCTCTGTAGCTCAGCTGGTTAGAGCTCGACAACTGTCTCTCTGTAGCTCAGCTGGTTAGAGCTCGACAACTGTCTCTCTGTAGCTCAGTTGGTTAGAGCTGGACAACTGTCTCTCTGTAGCTCAGCTGGTTAGAGCTCGACAACTGTCTCTCTGTAGCTCAGCTGGTTAGAGCTCGACAACTGTCTCTCTGTAGCTCAGCTGGTTAGAGTTCGACAACTGTCTCTCTGTAGCTCAGCTGGTTAGAGCTCGACAACTGTCTCTCTGTAGCTCAGCTGGTTAGAGCTCAACAACTGTCTCTCTGTAGCTCAGTTGGTTAGAGCTCGACAACTGTCTCTCTGTAGCTCAGTTGGTTAGAGCTTTACAATTGTCTCTCTGTAGCTCAGTTGGTTAGAGCTCTCGACAACTGTCTCTCTGTAGCTCAGTTGGTTAGAGCTTGACAACTGTCTCTCTGTAGCTCAGTTGGTTAGAGCTCTACAACTGTCTCTCTGTAGCTCAGTTGGTTAGAGCTCTACAACTGTCTCTCTGTAGCTCAGTTGGTTAGAGCTCTACAACTGTCTCTCTGTAGCTCAGTTGGTTAGAGCTCTACAACTGTCTCTATGTAGCTCAGTTGGTTAGAGCTCGACAACTGTCTCTCTGTAGCTCAGTTGGTTAGAGCTCTACAACTGTCTCTCTGTAGCTCAGTTGGTTAGAGCTCGACAACTGTCTCTCTGTAGCTCAGTTGGTTAGAGCTTGACAACTGTCTCTCTGTAGCTCAGTTGGTTAGAGCTCTACAACTGTTTCTCTGTAGCTCAGTTGGTTAGAGCTCGACAACTGTCTCTCTGTAGCTCAGTTGGTTAGAGCGCTACACCGGAATCGCAGGGCCACAGATTCGATTCCTGCCAGAGGGCCTATAGTTGTATTTTTCGCAACTGCTCCTGGTTAAGTCTAAGAAATGTATAAAAATCCCACTAGATATTTCTATCTCGAACTCATTAATAATTCATAAGCAAATTAGCGAATGAACTCACCCTAATTCGTCACATGATTGGGGTTGGATACCGCAAGGAAACACGCTAAAAATCATATACCATCACTGTTGTTAGATGAAAAACGGTTTTCATCTAATAACTGAGATCCTAATTACAAATTCAAGTCAAAACACAACAATATACTATAATAATTACTGACGGTCATAATAACCTATTGTTTTCTCTCTGCATTATATCATCAGCGAATGTCGAGAAGCTAAAATAGCACCCAGCATTATTAAAAATAATGCAGCGTGCACACAGCATTATTAAAAATAATGCAGCGTGCACACAGCATTATTAAAAATAAAGCAGCGTGTATCAGTGCACACAGACATTATTCGCAATCCTTCGTCATCCTGACAAGTACACGCGATAACGTGAACATCTCAAGATGAGAAGTTGACAGTACTAAAGGCCCCTCATACAATATCATCGGGCGCCTGAAGCACTGCCAAAACGGTCGTTGTGAGTCCTTTCAGCTCAACTTTATAGAGAAATAGTTTCGTTTGCGCTTGTGGGATTTTATCCTAGATATACGCATGTGCAGAACACACCATAACTTCTATTCCCGTGTTTATCCAGTTTAATAATGTTTTCGTTCGAGATGTTATGTAAACAACTCGTTTCTCGTGTTTCATCAGGGGACCAAATACTCGAAAACAATAAAACACTCGCGCTTCGCGCTCGTGTTTCATACAGTTTTCTCGTGTTTGGATCCCCTGATGAAACACTCAAACTCGTTGTTTACATATAACATCTACAACTGAAATGCCTCACTAATAATGCACATAAATTTGCGTTATGAACATTCCATGTACTAAGTTAAAAAAGTTGGTATTCGTACCTCCGACTTCGCGTAACAAAAACCTCTGCGAGAACGCCAACCTTTTGTTCTTCCCCTTCGACTCGATGCTGCAGCTGACGCCATCTTTCACGACATTAAAATACTCAAGATCTTTGTCCTTCACATTAGCGAATAGTAATGTCCCATCCTCCATGATCATGTAGTGTGCCGCCTGGGGAACGAACCACGTCCCTGTGACACCCTGTCGACCGCCCCAGTGGTAGAAAACGTTGCGGGACAAGGTGCGAGGGGGGCAGGTTAGGGCGAGATCCTTTCCTACCGTCACATCTGCATCATCGATCATTTCATCATTCTTGATGAATTTGCCAACAACTGAACGAGAAATGAAAATGCATTATGAAGGCCCCCCCAAACCGGTCCAAGACCAGGGACCGCGCAAGCGGGGCGGGGCCTGTGAGGGTAGCTTCAGCCCCCCCCCCCCCTACACCCGTGCTTGTTTTGTGAAATTGATAGCATGTGTTTCACACGCATGCATGTTTACTTTGAAACAAATTTATTGTAGGAAATGGCTGGAAAATAATGCAATTTGGGGGCTTGAAATTTTCAATATTCTCTGTGCGGCATGCACCAGACCCCCAGTAGGAAGAGTAGGGTCATATCAACGCCACCCCCAATGGTAAAATCGATGCGCGGTCCATGAACACGTTGGTACAAGATCGTCCAATATTTCCACTTAAAGGGATATGGCAATGAAAATTAACTTTGTCTTATTTGAAATAACTTTTAAATTTATATATGAAGAAGACCCTTTTCGTACCTTGCTTGGTTTTCGAAATATTTTGACCAAAAACAGCATGTAGTCCTGGCTCTTGGTATTATATTTGACCTAATTAACTGAATTTTTGAAGACGTCACAAGCAGGGTAAACTTATTAAAACTTCTTCATGTCGGACTAAATTTCTTCGAAACGTTTCTTAAAATGTTGTCAGTTAATTGAGAACTAAAAAGACTTCGGAAAATCGAGTTTCATATTGATAATGACATGTGGTTTGCAAGATAAAAATTTCGCTTTTTACCCTATGACGTATGCATAAGACAAATTTAATTTATATTGCCATATTCCTTTAACATGTTGGTTTGGTAATGTTGGCGGGTGTTGGAAAATACTGGATTAGGTTTGCCTTCATTAGTTAATTCAAAATTTTCATCAAAAAAATTTCATGAGATTTGTTGACACACGTACTTGAGAAATAGACATTAATCTTTGGACCCAGTAATGTTCCATCATCATTAGAAGCTTTGCATTGATATGTTCCTTGATAGTTGGGAGTGGCTGAGTTTGCCTTGACTACTAGTTGCTTGCTGAATATGTAAAACATGGGTGAAGTTTGTGTGACCAAAGTGCCATTGTGGAACCACTGGTAAGTCGTGCCTCCATCAATGTTACATCCCAGTTGTCGGAAGTAGTCGGCAAAATTCGTGAAATCCTCTGGCGAATCGCCGCTCAGTTTAGGAGGTGCACCTGAGTGAAAATAAGATGAATTGTTTGTGGAAACGTGATTGACAGAATAATGATAGATAGAAGAGTGATAGACTGAAGAATGATCGACAGAAGAATGATAGACTGAAGAATGGTAGACAGAAGAATGATAGACAGAAGAATGATAGACTGAAAAATGATAGACTGAAGAATGATAGAAGAATAATAAACCAGAAGAATGATAGACTGAAGAATGATAGACTGAAGAATGATAGACCGAAGAATAATAAACAGAAGAATGATAGACTGAAGAATGATAGACTGAAGAATGATAGAAGAATAACAGACCAGAAGAATGATAGACTAAAGAATGGTAGACTGAAGAATGATAGACAGAAGAATGATAGACAGAAGAATGATAGACTGAAAAATGATAGACTGAAGAATGATAGAAGAATAATAGACCAGAAGAATGATAGACTGAAGAATGATAGACTGAAGAATGATAGACCGAAGAATAATAAACAGAAGAATGATAGACTGAAGAATGATAGACTGAAGAATGATAGAAGAATAACAGACCAGAAGAATGATAGACTAAAGAATGGTAGACTGAAGAATGATAGACAGAAGAATGATAGACAGAAGAATGATAGACTGAAAAATGATAGACTGAAGAATGATAGAAGAATAATAGACCAGAAGAATGATAGACTGAAGAATGATAGACTGAAGAATGATAGACCGAAGAATAATAAACAGAAGAATGATAGACTGAAGAATGATAGACTGAAGAATGATAGAAGAATAACAGACCAGAAGAATGATAGACTAAAGAATGGTAGACTGAAGAATGATAGACAGAAGAATGATAGACAGAAGAATGATAGACTGAAAAATGATAGACTGAAGAATGATAGAAGAATAATAGACCAGAAGAATGATAGACTGAAGAATGATAGACTGAAGAATGATAGACCGAAGAATAATAAACAGAAGAATGATAGACTGAAGAATGATAGACTGAAGAATGATAGAAGAATAACAGACCAGAAGAATGATAGACTAAAGAATGGTAGACTGAAGAATGATAGACAGAAGAATGATAGACAGAAGAATGATAGACTGAAAAATGATAGACTGAAGAATGATAGAAGAATAATAGACCAGAAGAATGATAGACTGAAGAATGATAGACTGAAGAATGATAGACCGAAGAATAATAAACAGAAGAATGATAGACTGAAGAATGATAGACTGAAGAATGATAGAAGAATAACAGACCAGAAGAATGATAGACTAAAGAATGGTAGACTGAAGAATGATAGACAGAAGAATGATAGACAGAAGAATGATAGACTGAAAAATGATAGACTGAAGAATGATAGAAGAATAATAGACCAGAAGAATGATAGACTGAAGAATGATAGACTGAAGAATGATAGACCGAAGAATAATAAACAGAAGAATGATAGACTGAAGAATGATAGACTGAAGAATGATAGAAGAATAACAGACCAGAAGAATGATAGACTAAAGAATGGTAGACTGAAGAATGATAGACAGAAGAATGATAGACAGAAGAATGATAGACTGAAAAATTATAGACTGAAGAATGATAGACTGAAGAATGATTGACAGAAGAATGATAGACTGAAGAATGATAGACTGAAGAATGATAGACTGAAGAATGATAGACTGAAGAATGATAGACTGAAAAATTATAGACTGAAGAATGATAGACTGAAGAATGATTGACAGAAGAATGATAGACTGAAAAATGATAGAAGAATAATAGACCAGAAGAATGATAGACTGAAGACTGATAGACCGAAGAATAATAGACAGAAGAATAATAGACAGAAGAATGATAGACTGAAGAATGATAGAC